GGAAATAGATTGCCTGGGGTTTACAGCAAGGGCAAGCCACATTCCATGGTCAGCAAAGGCAAAAGTTCATGTGGCTCAACAGAAAATCTTTGAAAAGTAGAAATCCTAACAATTTAATCACAAGTGAGCATACTAGAGAAGTAAAATGCAGCATTTACTCTTAACAATCCAGCCACTGAGGGTTGCTCTAGTGACGGTCTCTAGATGGAGGGCACCTACAGAAACGGACAGAGTTGGAAGCCTGAGCTCAGCCCCGAGTCAGGAGAGGGATGCAGAAGAATGTTAGAATGGCTGACTGCAGTGTACATTTCTAAACAGTGATACAGCCCCAAGAGCTCAGAGCTCTCTGGAAAGCCAGAAGGAAAACCATGTAACTTGATCCACAAATGCTTCCATAGATATGTACCCACGCCAGTAAAATTCTTCAGAGAAAATTTCATGGCATATTTACCAACAAAGACGAATATCTCCAAGATGGACATGGTTGAACAAGGATAATTTAGAGACCTGAGTTAAGTGAGCTAACAAACTGTAAAGAAAAATCCGTTAATTTTACTGGAGTAGAGAGGCTCAAATGTATTCAATAGAAAGGTCTGGGAGACCAGAGTGTCACAGTGCTAGCATTTGTTTGGAAACTGTGATGAGAAGCTTGCAAAATACAGACAGGTAATTGACCTGATTTTAAGCAGGGGGAATGGTAGGATTCCTAAACTTCTACTGTTTAATAAAATACTGTCAAATGCTCATTGGCTTTTAGCAACAGTAACCACAGGGGTTTATGAGGACCTATGTAAAGATGTAGTGTTCTGGAACCAACTTTGACTCATTATTACTAGTCACTCATTCCCTTCCCAAGTGAGGCCATTGCAGTGAATGCAGGAATACTGAAGTTGAAGTATATCTTTGGTTTCAGAAGAGATTTATTGGACAGAATAACTTAAGTAATCTTGGGTAAGATAGAGAATTCAAGTTGCATTAATTTGTCCAAGACATGCTTTATCCCACACTAATGGTTTAAATTTTTTTTATTTAATTCACAGTAGTCTTGTACTGCTCTTAAGTTGAAGAAACAGGAAAATTTATGTCCTCTGGAATTACAGACAGCACCACAGTATCTTGATCTACACTAAGTAGAGATGGACTCTTAGCTGTTCAATGCTTGGATCTAGGGCCTGTTGTGCCCATATTGTCTTTCTTTGTTCCTTAGTCCCTTCATTCTCATAAACACACTACTCTGGAGGGAGCAGATCAGGTGCTCCTGTTAAAGTTGTAGATGTTCAAGAATCAGAAACTTGTGATGTCTCAGTAGGAAATGCCACAGGATATTTACTCGAATTTAGTGCTGTTCATGTTGTTAACTGGGACAGCAGACAGCAGAACATTGTTTCTGTCCCTCTTTGCTGGGAAGTGTGTATCGCCTTCTCCTCTGCAGTTCCTCCTTATAGCTGGTGTGGTAGGTGGCCCTCCGAATGACTTAGTTTGAATTATCCCATCCTTCCTGCACTTGCTGGGAGTGTTGATTCTGCAAGCAGACAGTTGATGTTGCATCTGTAGAACTGTCCTCGGCTGAAGGAAACCCTCTGAGACAGAGCATAAGCCTAAACTTTCAGAGGTAGCCTATAGCCAAATGACTGACTCTCATGAGATAAAAAGTTTATCTTTGGCCTCAAAGTGGGGTCAATAACACACAGTAGTTCATTTTTATAAAACTCTCTATGGATTGAGGCTGAAAGTAGACTCCAGCGGAGATAACTTGTCTGTCTAGATCCCTGTCTTTCCTTCTCCTTCTCTCTTTTCCTCTCCCCTGAAATGACTTCTTTAAAATTCACTTGCATAAATATTTTCCTCTGTACCTCTGTCTCTAGGGAATTTGGCATAAACTAACTTGCCTTTCCCTTTATATAATGTGCTTTTATTCATCCTTTTTTTAAAATTCCATCATGACAAATAATATTTACCTTCAGCAAAATGTAGTGCTAGAACAATCCTGTCTATGGCCTAAAAGAAAATCTCAAACACTGACTTTAAAGTTAGCTTTTGGCTCAATTATTGCTTTCTTGTTGGGTTTCAAGAGTTACCAGAGAGATTTGTTGAAATTCAGATTTATGAGACTACTTCATATTTGCAGAGCCTAAGCAGTGGGACTCTGGAATCTGCATCTTGTCAGGTCTTAGGCTTCCCTGGGTATAGACTTTGAAACACTTGGGATGGAATATGGTTACACTGATGGCCAAGTTGTGGACTTGATTACTTGAAAGCTACTGAGCATAAAAATATAAACAATTTAAAAAATATACACAAAACTTTTCCAAGTTCAAGAATTCTGTTCCAACCATACCAAGTCTCTTAAACATTGCCAATATTTTCTCACCCTTGTCTACTGAACATTGTTCAGGATCAAGGTCAACTCAACTTTGAGAAGGCAAGTACATCACAAGGCTACTGAGTAGCTTCTTCAAATGCCAGTTTAATGCAAGTGTTCTTCATCTTGGAACCCTGGAAGTTGGTTACTTATTTGTTTCTGTGATACTGTGACTTTTGTGACAAAAAGAGACAAGATACCACTGTGGGACACAGAAAAGCTGTGGCAGACAGCCTCTCACTAGAAAAAAAAAAGTAAGGAACAAGCAGAATTCCTCCCTTCTGGAAGTAAACATCTTCAGGGTTGTAACCTGAATGGTTGCCAACGTTGACCTGAAGCTAGTGCGTTGGGATTTGCTACTATTCCTGTCTTCTGAAAACGAAGGTCAGATCTCCGTGTTCTCAGCATGATGTTCCCAGTCTGAGTCACCCTTTCTGCCCTTCTCCTTCTCTTGTGGATCTTGGGAGGAGAAAAGTACTGCAAGCGGTGTGTTTTATAGGGAAGATGTTGACTATCTTCAGCTAAAGTTTGATTGAATCTGACCATTCCCTTTCTGCTCCTCCTGCGAGTCAGTTGTGTATGGGATTTTGCTGTGTGGTAGCTGTTGTTGGCTCACATGTGCCAGGTAGAGGTGGATTCCAGGTCACCATCTGAATGTCAGCATCAACTAAGATAAGAAAATTCGACTGAGTTAGGCATCAGTGATTACTAGCAAACAATGCGCAGTGTTGTGGACATAATGTCCCTCTTTGAAACAGTACCTCAGGATTTCTAGGAGAAATCAAACCGTGCATCTGGCCTCTCCAGCCTCCAAAATTCACAGCTCAGAAGGGTGTGGACTTGTCAGCATGAGAAGGTGAAGTGGGCCAGGAATCATTTCCAGAGCTCTGCTTCCAGCTCCCTGATACCGCTCCACCTGGGTAAGCCGTCTGGGCTCGGCACGGTGACCCTGCCATCTGTCGCATCCCTCTGGGTAGCAGCCGGCCTTTTGCATACGTTTTTCGCTGGAGGAGATCTGTTGGCAGCTCTGGGGACCTTCTGAACCCACCTGAGGAGGCTTTGTGGACACTGTGGAGGAACATGTTTTAAGAACAGGATGAAAGGAAAAGGAAACCAAAAAAAAAGTTCTCTCTGATTTCCCTTGAACAAGACCCTTTCTATTACGAAATCTCTTCTAGAAGGCAAATGAGAGGAGTTGGATTCACAACTGCATTAGAACATAGGTAGTGAGCAAGTGTTATAGTCAAAGAAACCGCCACTCCCCATCTCCTAACGGCATGTGTAAGTCAGTATCAAAGCAGACTCAATTTGAGAAATGAATGCATAACTATGTAATTGTCTCTGTTCAAAACCACACAATATCTACTATTGCTTAATGTAAAGCTCTATGTGTAAAATACATTTATGTATATATGCATCCAACTTCACACACATGCACACCAGTATTTCATGTGCATACACAAACGTGCTTCTATGTGTGTATGGTGTGCCTATATGTCTACATGTCAGTACTTTGTGACTGTGCATGTGAATGTGCACACACATGTACATGTGTGTATTTGTTTCCATATACGAATACGGACAGCCAGATGTTCCAAGTGCAGTTGAACATGTTTTTTTTTTTTTTTAATTTAATAGTCATAGATAACTTGTTATCTAAGACCCACAATTTTTCCTGACCATTGCCCATACGGGAAGTATAAACATTCTATTGGCGTTAAATGAGATGTATATTACGTATCTGATTTGTCTCTAGAGCTCTGTTTACTTGAGAGTTAAAACTTTGTGCCTGTCATTCACAGTTCCAAATTACCTTTCCAGTTGATCTCCTTCCCTCCCACATCCGTCCTCCAATGAACAGGGATTATTCACTCTCCTTGCACATGCCATGCTTCTGTGAGTTTCCTTATTTTCTACTCTTTACCTAGAATACTTTTAATATTAGTGTAGTGCTAGCAGCTTTAACAAATACATTTCAAAATGCCAGCAGAATGAAAGTTTCTGTTTTCTTTGTCGGCAGCAACCATTTAGGTATCCTGGTCAGCAGGAAGAAAAGGCGTTTGGGAAGACATTTCTGCATCCTTATACAAAGACTGCCCTCCCCACCATCATTTCCATTCCATCCACTGTGAAAACCAGCCAGACAACGTTGTGTGGCTGGAAACCATTGTGTCTGGTAAGTTAACATGTGAGACAGCTCGGGGCAAAAGTGCTTCCTACCAAGCCTGACAATTGGAGACCGGTCCTCGGAACCCAGTTGATGGAAGTTGTTCTCTGGTCTCAACCTACGTGTTGTGTTATAAGCATGTGTGTGCATGCCTATGAGTTTGAGCGCAGGCGTGCGCGTGCGTATGCACACACACACACACCCTTGCTGACTACCATGGTTTCTTTAATGAACCAAAGGATGATGGGGTAGGAAAGCAGGCCTGTTCCAACTAGAACCAAAGGTACAAAGTGGCTACTGATCAGTCTTTCCCACTGCAAGCTCTGAGTGCGTACACTGCACTTCTTTCTGCCAAGTACCAAACAAAGAGCCTGGCACAGGGTAGACTGTATGTATCTTGTCTATTTACTGAATAGATAAACAGATGAATTAATAAACTCTCCTAACTGGTTGGTGGAGGAAGTGGTCATTTGTCTTTAGATAGGATGAGACTTGCTTTTCTCTCTTTTCCTGTCTTGTTAAGTGACTTGAGTTTGTCCCTTTGTCATAGTGCTGGGCAGACAAAATGGTCTCGTTGGTTCAGCAGTTTGTAATGCTAGCTTATGTTCTTTGAAATGTTCTGAACCTTTTCTGAGCATCCCAATTCTCTTTGTCTTCCAGAGACTTGGGGACAGTTTCTTGCTTCCTCCCCCCACCCTGCTTCATGACTCACACAATCTACATTTATTCGTCATCCCCGAGGAATCTAGCAGTCACTTAGGATTGTGCGGATGGCAACCATTCATGAAACACCCCAGGGAATGACAGGTTTATTAAACTAATGCCTCAACTGTACTTTCAGAGTGATATAGCCAGAGAGAGTTCTTTCCTCGTAACCCCCCCGCTGCAAGCAGCTTCTGGCTTACTGAGTGGCTACACATCCATGATCTCATTTGGCTTTTTCTTACTCATCTATTTGATGATGGAAACTTAGGAATTTATCAGCTCGTCTAGGATCAGAAAATCATGAACACCGTTTTGCAGTCAGCCACTCTGAGTTAACCCATCGTATTTGTCTTTACTGGAAACTGTGATTATGATTCTGCTAGGAGCTAAGTGATTCTTCTTCCATCATCTATTTTCTGCATGTGGTGAAACCCATGCAGAGGAGTTCAATGACTGCAAGGATTCATTCATTGGTTCACATGTTTATTAAACATTTATGAAGCCCATTTTATATTCCAGGCACTGCTTTAATAGTAGGACACAAGCCTGAACAGTATAGCCATGATCCTTGTCCCCCTTGGGCTCACTGTGCCATGGAAGGTAGGGGGTAGGATTCAGAAAGTAAAAATCCAGCTTCTGCGTTTATATGGTATGGCAGCAGCCACCATTTCACTTACATTGCAAAGGGAAAGGTGCCTAGAGAAAGTCACCTACCAGGGCTTTTTGACTATGGGCCAAGACCTAGAAACTATGATGCTGTCATTTCAACTGTTAAGGAATTTGTTTCAAAGTTTTTATACACTGGGAATGAGGTGGTGGTGGTGGTGATAGTGGTGTGTGTGTGTGTGTGTGTGTGTGTGTGTGTGTGTTTACCCTACAAAGCTAATGTATTTTGAAAAGCACACACACATCAGATTTAGATAGAAGGTCCTGTTCATATAAGAAATGAGCCAGAAGCTCTGAAATCATATAATAACAGCACATATTTATATAACTTATATAATTAATGCGTGCCTGCTCTATTTAAAGTACTTCAAGGATAGTAACTTATTTGTTCTTCTCAGCAATCCTGTGTGATGACTGCTATTGTCGTGTGAATTTCACTGAAAGAATTCAAAGCATAGAAAGACCATGCAGTTTCCCAAAGAGCTCTGGCTCTGGGTGCATCCTAACCCTTGCATTATCTGAGAGACGACTCAAGTGGACCTGAGATATTGGAAAGCCCAGTGACAAAGTGTTATACAAAGTATTCCTTAGCATTTTTCATCCGTACAGTGAAGGAAATTGGGGTTTCTTCATTATAGGGTTGCTTTGGATAGTGCACAAGATCATGCATCATGCACAGCATAGCACACATAATGAGAAGGATATCACTTAATGAGGTTGAGTGACACATGTTTGTATATGTAAAGACATAATACACATGGTTGCTGTAGGCACTTAATAAACTGAGCTATTGTGAGTATTCTGATTATGATTATGATTAGGTTGGGACAAAATAACAAGTAATGAGTTAATCAAGCAAAATGAAGAGAGGCAGCAAAGAGTATTCTGGAAGAGAGAAGGACATTGTTGAAAACATGGCAGTAAAGGAACACATGATGACATTTACTTTGTGTTGTGTTATTTTATCTTGATTTAAGATCTCACTCTGTTAGATCAGACTGAACTGAACTCACAACGAAGAACAGGGTAGTCTCAAACTAGTGCTGATCCTCCTGCCTCAGCCTTCATCTGAGTGCTGGGATTATAGAAATAAGTAATCACACCTAGCATATTACTGCACTTAGATATCTTGTGCATTTTGATATAGATTTGATATAGATATAGATTGTGACATTTTGTAGTTTATAATTTCTTTTCTTGGTCAACTTAATGCTATTATCTCTGCTACTGGGTAGTGTGATGCCTGATGGAGAAGCCAGGGCAAGTGCTCCATTTAGAATTTCCAGGGAGTAGATTTAAGTGTAGTTCACCACTTTTTTTTTTGTTTTGTTTTTTGGAGATGGGGTTTCTCTTTGTAGTTTTGGTTTCCATCCTGGATCTCACATGGTAGACCAGGCTTGCCTCGAACTCACAGAGATCTGCCTGGCTCTGCCTCCCAAGTACTGGCATCATCACCACATCACCCTCAAAGGGTAAACTAAGCTGGGCAGTGGTGGCGCACACCTTTAATCCCAGTACTTGGGAGGCAGAGCCAGGCGGATCTCTGTGAGCATTGGAGGGAGTCTGGAGTCAGGCATTGGAGGGAGTCTGTATTTCTGAAGGTAAGAATAGAGGCATGAGTTCAGTGTTGGCTTGCTTATAGCTTTAAATCAAATGATAACATTCATTCTATTTCCTCTTTCATCCAAGCCTAAGACTAGAGATTTAGTTTCTGGGAATGGTGCCCCAGAGGATGTAGAATCTGTGCCATTAGGCAGAGCCGAGGGAGGGTAGGTGTCACATCAACACAGGGGGATTAAGTGAGGGCTTCATGCTGAAAAAGAACCCCGGGCTCCTTTCTCCATGTTCACCTTCCACAGCACCAGCAGCAGCTCTCTTTCAGACAAGAGAGAAAGGAGTTTTTCTCCAAGCAAAGGAACCACTCAAGGGATGTGTGTGTGTGTGTGTGTTCCACAGCACCAGCAGCAGCTCTCTTTCAGACAAGAGAGAAAGGAGTTTTTCTCCAAGCAAAGGAACCACTCAAGAGAAAAATGACCAACGGACCTGTGAGATTTCCACAACCCTAGCAGTCAGCAAAAATAACCCTCGTCAGTCCCCCTTACTGAAGCTCACGATTGGACAAGTCCCACCCATGTGTATAGATGATTTCAAGCAGTTTTTAAATACTTGCTAAAAAAGAAAAGGACCAAGAGATAAAGATGTAATGTAAAAGACAGCAAAACAAACAAAAACAGGAAGGAAGGAAGGAAGGAAGGAAGGAAGGAAGGAAGGAAGACAGCTGATAAGGGGACTGGACTAGAGTTGAAGACAATTCAGAGATACTGGATTTTACATTCTAAGGATAACAGACTCTGCATATTGGGCAGCCAGGATGCCATGCATGTTATTCAGAGAATGAGCTCTGAGTTTTTATTCTTTAAACTGGAATCAGATTTAAAAAATTCAACATAAAGTAAGAAAAGAGAGAAGATAGAAAGAGTAAGAATAAGAGAGGAAGGAGGTATGGATGGGAGGGAGGGGTAATAAAGAAGGGAAAAAAATGAGAGAGAAAAATCACCACAAGCTATATGAGGAAAATAATATGAGAGAAAATAAATCATTAAAGAGACAATAAAAGAACATTCTTAAGAACCAAAGGATAATATCCATTTAAAAATATTTTTTTTGTTCCTTAGATGTGTTTTCTTGCATATATGTCTATTCACCACATGCATGTCTGGTGCCTGTGGAGGCCAGAAGAGGGCATCGGAGGATTCCCTAGGACTGGAGCTATGTATGGTTGTGAGCTGCCATGTTGGAATTGAAGTTGGATCCTCCGAAAGAGCAGCCAGTGCTCGTAACCACAGAACCACCATTCTAGCTCTGGATAGTAATACCTAGATCTACCAGCCTTACCAAGTCTTCACCAGGCTATAGAGGCGGGGTCATACAAATATAAAATACCCAGAACAATAGTCTATGAAATTCAGAGCAGCAGAATTAAAGGGAAAAATCCTAAGAAGATACTAGAGAGAAGTGTGCAAATGAGTGGATCACATGGTCACAAAGAAAGAAAGGAGGAGGCATAGAAATGGTGATCATCAATCTCAAAAGCCCCACGACAATGAAATGCTACCTTCCAAATCCCAAAGTAAAAGGATTCTCATTCTAGAAAGCCATCCTCACCAAATCTGTCAATCCTCAATACAGAATGTAAGAAAGCCCAGCCAATCAAAGTCTCAGAAACTTAGTTCTTAGCACTGTTCTTTGGACGCACCTCAGAAAGACAGCAAAGGAAGTCATGTGGTAAGTACTGCCGTGTCCTGGAGGATCTCAGGATGGCTCAAGCTGGAGGTGATTCCAGAGCAGATAAAGCAGTGCAAGGAAGCCAGTTTGCAGCTATCATTGCCAAAGAGCAAATGGGATCATACATTGGAAAAAGAAGGCTTGACCACAGAGGCCTTGAATAGGGCAAGCTGAACTAGGGGTTATTTTGTAATTTCTTGAAAGCAAAAAGCATAATATACAAGCTTAGCAGCTCCTTTCCTCCGTTTGCTTGGCTTTGGTGTCACTGAGAACATGTGGAGTGCTGACCTGAGAGAAGGCATGCTTTATTTCTAATCCTGAATGCATTAAGAGGGGTCTTAGCGATTTCATTTTACAGTTTGTGGAGGACCCAGAACTTTGCTTTCGGACATGGATGATATAACTTGCTAGTCAAGACATCAACCTGAATGAAACCCAGTACTGTGCACAACTCAGGCTTTACATAGCCGGATATTCAAGGAAACAGCTAACTTAAAGACTGATTTCTTTTTTATCTGCATCTTTTGTGTAACTATGGGACTCATTCAGAGCCTGACCCCGCATGCACCATCGCACATCTCAGCTGCACTGTCTAATCAGCTTCCCATACATCAAATTTAAATTTCTCCCCAGGGCCTAGGAGTCTTCTCTGGTCCCACCTTGGTCTTAGGAACCCCTTGTGCTAAGGGTTCACCTCATTTTCTTGGCTCACTCCCCTGTAGGCGTTTGGTGGTAAAGCAGGGCATGGAAGCTGACTCATCCAGGGAGAACCTGTCTTCTGTGTTTGTCTCCTTTAGGATTCATATTTTTTCATGCATCTTCGAATACAGCCTCTTAACCAGATGACAAGAAGGAATATTCCTCAGAAGATAAGGAGAACAGTGGCTACCCCTAACAAGCCCAAACTCCTTTGAGTAAAGAAAACGTGTGCATGGAATCTGAACCTCTACATGCTAAGGAGTCCTGCCGCTGACAGGTGGGGATCCTGAGGGGATCCAGGGGTGCTCTAGTTCCCAGGCCAGTTCATGAGTTTGGATAGTTTTTTGTCTAAGGGATGCGCTCCACCAGTCTGCAAAGCTACTGCGAGCCATTCTCTTATTTTCTACAGCCCCAAACAATGAAGGGAAGTTCTTTGCATCCAGAAAACATGCTGATTGAAATATCATCTCTGGAAAGTCTGTTCTAAAGACACTAATTGATATTGTTTGAAGAAGTGTAAGTGTCTGTCATGAAAACCGTTTTAACAGCGGGCTTGTTTCCTTCCTTAGTTTGTTTAACTTGGCAGAATGTTCCTTCTCCCCCCCCTTATAAAACCTCCTATTTTGATTTATGAATGTTTTCAAATTTTTAAGATTCTCCAAACCGTTGTTTCACCTGTAAGTAGAGAGATAGCTTGTTTGGCTAACTGCCTCGTGTGACTCGGTGCCAGGCAATGAATAATGCCATGTTCAATACTCTGAATTTGTGTTCCAGATTCTGAATTTCCAATGAGCTGCATGGAACGCTACTGATAAGTGGCTGATTTTCCCTGCAAGGATTGTCTTATTTTAAACTTCAAATTTAGTTGCCTTACTGTATGCAAGGTAATTTCAAGTGGGTTTTAGAGGGAGGCTAAAGACTGTTCATACTTTTCTAAACCTAGGAGATGGAAGAAATGAGCTAATGAAGGAGGTCATCTTATCTTAGAGGACTTAAATCTTCACAGCAGCATCCAGAGTCTCTTTCTTTCTGAAAGGTGCTAGCCAAACTTTAATAGAAACCTCGAGTACGCTGTATTACTGCAGTCACTGGTATTCACCTCAAGGAATATCTATATGTTGAAAAATAAAAACATGAAGAACATAGAGCTTGAGCTGAGGTTATAATAAAGAAAAACAGGGAGAGCAGATATCCCTTCTGTGTTAAATAAAGCTGAATTGAAAATTTAAAATTTCCATTGAACTTAGAAGTGTTATTCACCCGTCCTTTCTCTGAATTCTTTCCACCCCCAGGCCATGCTAGAAGTACCAGAGCAGAACCAAAAAGCTCCTTTAAAACCTCTTCCAGCATAAGGGGAAGGGAGGAAGGTCAACAGCTACTTCTCAGATGATGTCTGTAAGCATCCTGCCTCCTTTGTCAACCTGAGCGACATTAATTTCTCTCTTATTTTTTGTTGCAGCCAATGAAGCGTCTGAGGTTGCACAGACCGTCCAGCTCATTTCTAGAGATTAGGTAGCTTGGACACATGGTTAAAAATTCTCACTGGCTTTGGTTGACCAGATCACTGCCTACTCTTCCTTGTCTCTACAGAATTGTCACAACTTTAAAAGTCAACAATCGAGTCTTTGATTCTTGTTTCAAAGAATTAAGTGTTTATTTTTTAAAATACATTCAATGTCATTAAACACTGACTTTATCACTTAAATATGCTAAATACACTAGTGTATTTAGCACTACACGCTTGACTTAAAGGTATACCAGATAGATTTTTAATGGCTTTAGTGATCATTATTTTGGGACAAAGGTTATGTTAAATATTTGATACTTTTTGATAGACTATTATGATGGGACATGCAAGATTCTTTTCTTGTTTGTGCCTGAACATTGCAGTATATTTGTACATCATCAGGAGTTTAGAATGAAACTTATGATAGCTTCTAACAGCTCCTAGACTTGGAGAAAAAAAAACGATACCACCCGCCAAACAAGCTACCAGTCAAAGCACTGCTCACTGGTTAGATTAGAGAAGCCCATTAATGCTGTCATGTATGCTGAGCTGGGAGAGAATAAGTCACAGGCTTTTCTCCCAAGCTAATTGGCTGGATGGACTTAATATTGCTCCCTCTGGTAAGAGCAGGAAGAATATATAAAGAAAAGTAAAAGATGAGGGAGCAAAAGACTACATCACATTTTGTACTGACCCAGAAAATGGAGGACATGTAGGAGGCAGATGGACACACACACAAAGTCTGCCATGAACTTACTGAGTAAGGGCCAGAATGGCCTAGTTTCCTTTTGCCCTAATTTTGAGGAACAGCTTATATAACACAGACTAATGAAATAAAAAGAATAATCTACTAATTTTGGAAAGAGTCTTAGCATCTTTGTTCACATTTGTCCTAGGAACAGACTTGTCAAGGGAATTACAGTTTTCCACAGAGATATTAGGAGTACCTCCAATGGGGGTGGTAGAAGTGGGGGCCTCTGAGGGAGTTAATGTTTCCTTAGCTGGGGCAGGATGACAAAGGCCAGTGGTATGAAAAGCCTCAGATGGAGAACGAATGTGAGATGTGGAATGAGCATCTGGCGCGAGTGTCTATAAGGGTACGGCAGGAACGGTGGTGGTCAAAACTAGCAGCCTTGTTGAGTGCTTGGTTGTTTACTGTGAACCAGAACACACAGGGGCTGCAGCAAACATGGGTGAGAAGGTCCGCTTCCCAAACAGATGTCCGGCTGATGTTGAGCATGTTTCACTGTGTAGACTAGAGAGGTGAGAGGCACGACAAGAATTAAGCCTCAAAGTCCCATGCGCCGAGAGGTTGGGAGCTTGGAAAAAAAATTCAATTCAAAGCAGTTGAACAAATGAAACTGTGAAAACCCCACTGTTCCAGTCCTAATTTAGATATATATTTTTAGGAGATACCCACGAAACACTTGGTCTAGGACAGGGCTTGTGACAAGAATTCATTTATTCCTTCAAAATTTGACTGCCAAGAGCACCTACCCTGTATCAGAGGCCACGTATGACATCCAGTATAGTGAGGCATAAACAAATCAGGGTGAAGCCTTGGGGCTTAGCTTGCCTCAGTGAGTGTGGCTTTCCCAAATGCACATAAAACACACACACACACACACACACACACACACACACACACACACACACACAACCTTTTTTTAATTTTTTCTCAGCCAGTTAGAATTGCAAGAGTCCAAAAGATTCTTTACTAAAACAGTTAGAAAAGATCAAGAAGAGAATGGGCAGAAGTGTATAATATTTAAGGAGGAAAAATGACCAAACAAAACTAAAAGAGAGTCAAGCCCAATCTCATCGTCTAAATATCAGCAAATAAAAGTGCCCTAAGGAGTGAGTCCAAGTGCTTTGCACAGCGTCCGCTGATGATTGGTTGGGGTGCAGTTGACAGGGTTAGATTATTGCCCAATAGTGCAGATTGTATGATGTAATGAGAAAGCCCTTCCAGGAAACCCTCTGTGTTTGAACCAGAAACAAAACAGCATGGGAGAACAGCCCTCTAAAGAGTCTATTCTATTTTAGAACAAAACTTTCAACTATTGAGTTTTATGAAAATAGCTAAGAATCAGAAATCTTTATTTTGTTGGCTACTTTAGTGTGTATGTGAGTGTGTGTGCATGTGTGTGTTAAGTACACTCTCTCTCTGTGCTTGTTGCTGTAGTGTGTGTGTGTGTGTGTGTGTGTGTGTGTGTGTGTGTGTTGATGTATGAACGCCACTGAGTTCTTCTGGAACTCAGGGGACGATATTCGGAGTGGATTCCTACCTTCCCCCTTGTTTGAAGGAGTCTCTTTCGATGTTCCTGTAGCTGTGCTGTAGCCTCTGGTAAAGCTTGTCCATGAGTGTCAAGACTTTTTCCTGTCTCCATCTCCCATCTCACTACAGGAGTGGTGCGATTACAGATATGTGCTAATGCAGCGTTCTTTTACATGAATTCTGGGAATCTGAACTGAGGTTGTTGTTGAGCAACACTGAGCTATCTCCTTGGCTTCCTATTTTGTTTTGTTTGGTTGGTTCTTTCCTTTCCTTTCTCCTTTCTTTCCCTTCCCTTCCCTTCTCTTCCCTTCCCTTCTTTCTCTCTCTCTCTCTTTCTCTTTCTTTTTCTTTTTCTTTTCTTGTCTTTTTTTTTGAGGTAGGGTCTCAGATTACCCAGATTGGCCTTAAAGATTGTAGAAGAATACTCCTAATCGACTTAGTCTAACACCGGGTCACTTAACTGTCAGCCTCCATTCTTCTCTAAATGTCATACTATGAAACAAAGGCATGGGGGGTGGGGGACGATAAAAGCAAGGTCACCTTTTAACTTTGTCTTGCCCCCAAGGAAGTGAGAAGTGGGAGAAAGCCTGCTTTAGAGACGTGAAATATATAAGACAGTACGTAGAACACCACATGGAATTCTGAATCCAAGAAAAGCCTTCCTTTTAGAACAAGAAGCGATGTGTGTGTGGGGAGTTTGATGTAGAACACACACATGCAGCCCACCACCATCTTTGCTTCATTGCATTCTGAAGTCTCTACTGCATGCTCAGAAAAAACAGTGGCAGGGAGCTGGTCTGGAACACAGGGCAGTCTGTAATGTTCCTGATTGGCAAAGAGAACGAACTATCGTACTTTTTTCTGTCCATGGAAACATTCCTTGTACTAGAGGTAACAGAAGAATCTTGGAGTAGCGAAGAGTAACAAGTTGTGCGGATGAGATGTGTGCCAAGAAGCTACAAAATACAAGTCTCCAGGAACAGTAACTTTTATTCAAAGAGATTCAAGAAATGATATGGTTGAACTCAGAAGAATAATGAAAATATGGAAAAATGGTAAAAGTTTTGTTAAAAGTTTCTAATAGGTAGGACACTAGATTCTACATCTTAAAGAGAAATATTTGCATTCAGAATGCTTCATCCAAAGCTTTGGAAAACAGTAGATTGGATTATTCAGTGTCTGGTTTATGAGCATTTAGGAATAAAATTGGTGATGACTTGGAAATTCCACTATAACATCTCCAGATTCTTCTTATTGCTATTATTTTCAAATATTTTTATTAAATCACAGAAATTATGAAGGAAGTTCTTTAGACAGGGTTTTAACATTTCTCATACATAATTCTGGTGGTTAAGAGAAGGGCTGTGAAAGTATGGTTGGATGGAGAGAGCCAGCTTTGATTGAAAAGCTGTCTCCACAGTAGAGTAACCAGGTGGACACCAGAATAAGGAAAGCACACCATGTGAATCTGGGTTTATTCCTTGTC